GAAGGAAGGAAGGAAGGAAGGAAGGAAGGAAGGAAGGAAGGAAGGAAAGGAGGGCCTGATAATGTTGCTGAGTGGTCTTCTTGGTACGCATGAGGCCCCGATTCAACCCTCAGTACGGGCTAAAAACAATGTGATTAAAAAAAAAAAATACAAACGGCATCATACACCATCTGCTGTTTTAGCTGTGTTTAAGTGGACAGTCCAGCAACATTTTGGCCTTCCACATAACACAACCATCACCGTCATTTATCCCCACACCTTTTCTTTCATCTTGCTGAACTAAAACAATTTCTTCTACCTGTCTCTAGTCCTGACAATCACCGTTCTACTTCCTGTCTCTGTGAACTCGACTCTAGGCAATTCCTGAAAGCTGTTAAAGTCTTTGTCCTTCACAGAGCGAATCATTGCTCTTAGCACTCCTTCCTGAGAACCTGTGAAAATTGCTTCTTTTGAAGGCTTAACCATATTCCGTTCCACATTCAACATTGTGTCTATTGATTTGTGTGGTATTAAACCTGGGTTGGTGGCATCTTTTGGCTATTGTGAGTAATGCAGCTACAAACATAGGTCTATACTCACCTCCTCTAGCCTCTACTCGTAAGACGAATATACAGAAGAAGCGATATTAGATAACAGGATAGTTTTGTGTTGAGAGGCACTGCTATATTGCAGGATTTTGTGGGAACAAATCTGGGGACACTTTTAACAGAATTCTTGGTCTGGGTGTTTAGAAGCATGAAAGAAATATGGATTCAGGTTCCTGTATCATGCTTGTCAGAATCCTTTGCAGGTCATGAATGTTTGGGTCTTTAATCTTACTTTTGAACTTATGTGGATCTGAAAATACCCTGTGTCCTGGTACAAAAAAAAAAAATCCAAATTACTGTAGACCAGAAAATATTCTAGAATAGATGGCAGTTTTAGCATTTGACTTACTCTTCAGGCTTGTGCTATGAGCTTGTTTGAGTTTTGAATATTTTCTTCATTTTTTTTCAAACAAAAGATGTGTGCATAGGCTTACCCGGTAATTTGAGTGATTTAT